CTGTGATGAATTGCCAAAATAAATGGCTCAAGAATGTGGTGATGATTAAACAAGATAAAGTTAGCAGTGAAAGTGCCACTTCCCGGACATCTCCTAGATCCGGGCACTCCTGCGGCTTCCTCTCTCCCAGAACTGGTGCTTCAGACGTTGCAGGGACTGGCCGACCCCTTGGACCCCTGGCCTGGCCCACGCCCAGCCCCGTGTGCCCCCCCCCCCGAAGCCCAGGCCGCGCTGTTCCAGAAAAGAATGCACCATTTTGTTCATTGAGCAAAATGCTCCCCACCCCACCTCCCTGACTGTGTCGCACCCCCCCGCCATGAAGATTCAGGACCTCTTGCGTGGTGCTTCCTCCGAGGGGACCCTGCCTTTTCAGCTCCCCGCACCTGACACAGTGTCTGACACACGACACATGTCCCTTCAGTGGCTGCTGCTGAGTGAAAGGACTTGACACATTATAGGGCTCAGTAAACATCAGCTGACTTGAAGCTTTAGGACAGGAGTGCAGATGAGGCTGACGTGCAGGACACAGTCCCGATGCCACAGCACCAGCCGCTCTAGAACTGGACGTGGGAGGTCTTGTGCACTTGCAGTGAGCACACAGTGTCCAGAATCCCAGACAGAGCGGCCCAGAGTGTAGCTCCGGAACCTTCTGGCAAACCGCATTGGGAGGGAGTCGCAGAGCAGGCCGGGAAGCCGCTCGCTCTGGTTGGAGCCAAGATTCACGTAGAGGAAGTGGAGTCTGCCCCGCGGTAGACTGGGTGTGCAATGGTGGGGACGCTCCCAGAGCATTTGGGTGTCTTGGTAGTGTCACTCCCCCGGAAAGCCAGGGTGACTAGAGTTAGAGGGTGTTTTAGAGAGATGGCCCTTGGGCGGTGCTGCCCTTGAAAGTGGGTGCCACCCCTTCCTCCCACCTGCCTTTCCAAAGTGTCACAGAACACGCACACCCCGTTCCCCCCGGGAACCCCACCTGCTAGCTGCGAAGCTGGAGCTGGGCGTGAGGCCCCTCCACACCGAGCACCCCACTTCCAAGACGGGGTTTTTGGTAAACTGTGGCTCCCCTTCTGGTCCCGCCCTCTCCCCTCGTGACTGGTAATGACCCGGAAGGTGGCAGCATCCGCAAGGCAGGTGGCCTCGGGAGCTGAGTCACCGCCCTGGGAACGGTGCCCTGACGAGCCGCCCGGAGCCCGGGTCTGGAAGGCGCTCAGCCCTGACCGCGACGGGGGGACAGCGGGTCCCTAGTGCATCTCAAGGTCGACCCTGGCATGAGGAGACAGCAAAGGGGAGAGGCAGCTGAACAACCAAGAGGGACTCTCACCACCCGTGTCTTCAGCAGGCCCGTGGGGTTGTCACTCTTGCTGATGCAGGTCCATACACCCCAAGTGTCCGCTGATGGACAGCCCTAACAGGGAAATGGAGAATCTGAAAACACCATCGGAAGACTCTGACCTCGTGAATTTGGAAAGCGTCAGGCATAAAAAACGATGCAGAGGTAACTTAAGCTGCCAATAAGAACAAGCCAGAACTTTTTTAGTGTTTTTTTTTTTTTTTTTTCGTACGTAGATACTCTCACGGATGCTTTTATTTCATTCCCAGAAGATAAAAACAGTGTTGCTTTTGAAAGGAGGTTTAAAAAAGGAATCTGGCTTGTTTACTCCACAATGAGGAACGATGACCTCACTGTCAAAAAAAAAAAAAAAACACACAACAAAACAAAGAAACAAACCCAAGCACCCGAGGCTGCCTCGCCTGGGAAAGTGGGCCTGGGTCCCGGGTGCCCACCCTCTCCGTTAATCAGCATTTTCAGAAAACAAAAGTTCCCGACGTTTTCACAGCCGAACAGTAACGCTTAGGAAATGCTACCAGCTTACTCAGTTCTTACAAGGCCATAAAAAAGTCTGGTGACAATTAGTCAGTTGCCTGAGAGCAGTGCCATGTGGTTAACTAGCCTGTGGCCACTGGGAGCTTTCAGAATTGGAGCAAATAACTGGCCGAGCCCTGTTTTTGGAGTGGAATATTTTTCATGTTTTTCTGCCCCACACATCATGCGTCCCAGGGGGTTCTAGGCAGCACCCCATCTCCCCTGAGCGTGTTGTCCTGGGTTCTGGAGGCACGCCTGCAGCGCTGGGACCACCTCGCGCCCCGGGGCCCCCGGGGTTCTGCGCAAGTCCACGGAACTCGGCCACGCCGCTGCAAGTGTGAACCATACCTTGGGAGTTGGCTTTTCTCCTTTATTTTTCTGTTTCCTTTCCTCGAGCACTGCGTGTATAAAAACACAGCCACACAAAAGCAGGTTTTTTTTTTCTGAGGCAGAAGGGGACGGAGGCCGATTCTGCTCAACACCAGGACCGCATCCCGATGCCACCAAGCGCAGTATTTCCAGATCAGCAGAGCCTGCATCTTGGAAGGTGGGGGTCAGCGGACTACTCCAGGATGCCTGCCAGCCGAACCAGGTTCGGGAGTGAGGGCTGGGGAAGGAGGGTTTGAAAAAGAGGCAGCATTTATTCTTTACCCTTTAGCCTGTGGAGGGGTGGGAGACTCCCCTGTCGTTGGGTAGAAGCTGCAAAGGGCCCATCGTGGCCGGCAGGCACAGAGGTCAGGGAGCATTCACCCCGAGGTCAGCCTGCCCCCCCACCCACAGACCCCACGTCACTACCACAGGCGGCCAACACAGCAGCCCCAGGAGGTCCTCGGGCAGCTCTCAGGCCCTGATGAGTTAACAGGCAGAGACACCCAGTAAGCCGGTCCCGCCCGGGCACGGGTTTGTTTATCCTGCCTTCTGAAGTCAGAGCCAACATTCTTAATGGTTTCGAATGATTCAGAACATTTCTCTTCTGGCAGGTCACTTCCCACACATGGGCTTCTGACTAAGGAGCCCGAGGTGAGGTCCAGTGCAGAAACCAGTGGCCACCTCGTGCCATATGTGCAAGTTGTTTGACTTTAGAGCCAAAGGAAAACCAGCCAGGCCCCCTTGCTGGATTCAGACATGAGGACGCTACAGCGGGAGACTTTGTCAGCCAGAGTCCCAGGGCTGGCCCGGGAGGCCGCCAGGGCCCGCTGGGCCTGGGTGCTGCGCTCTCCCTTTTGCTGACCCCACAGCCCCAGGCCTCGCCTTTTGCAGGAGCTTCTGGCCGTGGGGGAGAGGGCAGCCTGCCCTTGGAGGACAATGTTTACAGAATCACTTAGGTCAGAAAAGAGAACCTCGTTTTTTACAAAATGAAACAAATCAGTTTTTAATTCTTCATAGGCAGCGCTCTGTCAGCATGGCGGAAAAGAGACTGATGTTTCTATCTACAGGCCAAAAGAAGAGGCTTGATAGGCCCCTCCCCCCCCCCTTTGTTCTATTTCTTCTTTGGACGGGAATTAACTTTGCCATGCTAATTCTTACTAAAACTCTAAATCTGTCCCCACAGGAGAGAGACTTGAGCAATGTTCTAAGAACATGATGTACTCTCTGGGGGCCACAGTGAATGGGACATTTGGGAGAGGAGGAAGCTTGAGTGTGTCTCGGGAATAGAGCAAATGGAATGGGAGAGAGGAGGAGACGGGAGGCTGGGCATGCTGCAGGAGGAGCTTGGGTGAGCGCTCTGCCCTGCACACGTCTCCTGCTGGAGACCTGAGGGCCTCTTGAAGCCTGTGGGGCTCGGCCTGTCTGCCCTAAGCCAGGGTGTGAACCGGTGACCCCTGCTAGGCCAGCTCCACCCGGTCGGGTCCGGAGTGTCGAGCTCCCTCCGCCCTCCACAGAGCAGGTGCCACAATGGCTGATGGAGAACAGTGTCTCCCCAGCCCCCCAAGACAATGTTGACTTTATTTGTAGACAGACAACAATAACCTGAACCACCAGCCAGAAATGATTCATCTAAGGAGCGCCCTCGTGGGGAACCAATCTGGCTCTGTTCCCTCGAGGTGGCAATTAAGTGACCCACCACTGTCACTCCGTATTAATGGTACCACTGTTAATGTCTCCCCCACACATGTAAACTAAATGTGCCCAGGGATAAAAGGCAGCGTCTCCAGTAGCCTTTCCTAGGAGGAACTCAGTCCTAATGACAGAGCCATTTCACCTCCTCCCAGCCCATAGAAATCCCTGAAGAGCAGTGATCTTGTAGTCCATGTCCAGCATGGTTCTGGGAGGTAAATGCGCCCTTGTTGAGTCTGCCCCTCCCCGCCCCCCTCTCAACACCTGTAAAAGCTACCAGAGGGAAGTCCGGCTGCACGGGGGCACCTCTGTCCAAACAGTAGTCCTAGAGGTTGAACACCTTCACCCACTGCCGACAATGAACCACTTCTAAGGCCGGGCCAGAAGGAGCACTGTGGGGGTGGCAGTCTAGCTGCAGTCTACCGTGACTTAAAAAAAAAAATGGACCTAGAAAAGAATGATGATTTAATAAAGCTTTCCAGTTTAAGCTATTGGTAGAATCCTAGTAAAAAGCTACAGAAGAAGCTGGGAGTAGAATAGGAAGCAGGTACAGTGTTTTGTTCTTCGGTTTTTCATATTTGAGAGCATTCGAATGCCCCCTGCCTGCCCTCGCTGGGTCAGGGGCTTAGGAATAACCTCAGGCTAGAGGGCTTGTGTCTCAGCCCCTGTGCTCTCTTGTCGCTGACTCCTGGGCGTCTGGGTTTTACCTCCACTGTGCGGTGATTCTAGATCCCAGGAGAAGGTCATCAGCCTTTGACCTTTTACAGGAGTTGGGGTCAGGGGATGGGACTTGCACTGAGCTGAAGGGAATTTACAGAGCACATTCAATTGGCTCTGTGTCTCCAGCCCACACTGCTTTCCAGACCAAAGGTACTGGGGTACCCTGTTCATGGAGGCCTCCTAAGAAAGTACCCCCCCAGCTTCTCTGGGAAACTCAGAAGGAACTGAGTCTCCCCTCTCCCCCCATCCCCATTTCTTTTTGCCCAGAGAATTAACAGTCCCTTGGGGAAGCTCATCCTGACCTCAAGAGTCTGGTTCATCTGTGGGCCCCCATGTCCCCCGGGAGTCGCTTCTCCTAATGTGTAAACTGCCCTTGACCTCGTTGAACAATCTCCTCTCACCCCCCACCCCCTCCCCCACCCTGCTGGTCTGCAGACTGCATGAGGGCGGGGCTGTGTCCTGGTCACGTGTGTCTCTCCTGTATCAAAGGTATTAGCAGATGTGTTCTCATTGCCTGCCATCCATGACCTCAGCCTTCAGCCTGTGTGTAAGTACCTCCCTGAGCGAGCACATGCTCCCCTCCGCTGCCCCAGCCACCCTGCAGCCTGACTCCCCAAAGGCCCCACTTGCCAGAGGCAGTGACATTTCCCCATTCTCACTGACCCTTGCCTCCTTGCTCCGCTGGGCATCAAACCGTGTCACCAGGGCCTCCCAGGGGCCTTCCCTCTCCCCACCCACCCGGGGCCACCCAACTTGTCAGCCACACCAAGCTTCTGAATCTAAATGCCACACTGGTGAGACACGTCACTTGTCCCTAGCTATCAGGCGCTGTTCCGGTCAGATGATGGGGCTGTGTGCCAGGTTGCACGCACTGTGTTTTTCTGCATAGGTGTTCTTCTGACCGCGTCCAGCTGGGTGCAGGACCGGAGGCGGCAATCAGCAAGTGACTATTGATTGACTGATTTTAACAGGTCTGCATCCCCCGATCGTGTTGAGAAGTGAGTCGTGGTCCTGTGTCAGAGCTGTGGGTTAATCCCCAGGCAGGTGTGGCTATCTCAGCAGTCAGCGGGCTCACAGGTGCGTGGGTCACAGGAATTGGCACTGCCCGTGGGCACCCCCGTTACATGCTAGGCTTCCCCAGAGCCTGTGGGACTGCTCATCTGTCCTGTTTGCGCTCATGTGCCCTAAGCCACCTGCAGCCTGGGACATTGTAACCTTGCAGTCTGGGCAGATAGGAGGGGTGATGGGACCATCCTCGTGCCAATTTTAGATCTCACCCCCAGATCCTTGAGTCCTTCTTTGGACATCCCTTGGCCAATCTTTGTTCTCCCAAGAAGCCCCCAGACCCACAGCCCTGGGCAGTGAAGCCCAGAGGCAGTTCAGTCTCACACAGGTTTACACACCACTTGATGGCATGTACTTCTGCAGATGTTACCCGAATGTTGGACGCAGGCCTTCCCCGGGCTGTG